AATACACTTTTAATGTGATAATGTTCCTTTGCTAGATAGACCCCATAAGATGGTATTAATTTCAATATTACTTAAAAAATATTTAAGTATTTGACTCCATTCTTTTGGCAAAATGTTTTCAACAGAAATTTTAAATCCTGTCAGTAAAAGACAAAAATTAACAAATAATTTGTATGAACCAGTAGTAGGTATAAAATATTATATGTATTATAGACTATAGGTACCAGTTTTATTTTAAATATTTGTATTATCATTAAATTAATTAATACACTAGTTTTGTTTTATTTACTTGAAATATAGAATTTCAAAAATAATAAATGGATGTAAAATGTTTATTAATTAATTCAGATTGTTATTAAAAATATTTTACAATAGCACAATTTTTTATAAAATAATGTAATATTCACATGCACCATTACGTAATTTACATAACTGTTGAATAAGCTAAAAGTTGATAATATGTATTTAAGACTTATGTAAGTAAGTTAAGTTATTAACATATTAACATCATGAACTACCTATAGGTACAACTTTAAAGTTTGAATTTATAATTTATAATATTATTCATATTATGACAAATTGATAACAATAATATCTTTATCAGTGTTATGAAAATGTAACATTCACTTCTTAGATAAGAGAATTTCGGCCATTTTGTTGGCTTCAAAAACATTTCCAAGTTGTCTATCTAGTATTTTTATATATCTGTGGTATAACGTTATTTGTAGGCGATTCTTCAATCACGAACCGGACAATATATATATATATATATATGTCTTAGAAAATAATATTGGACATTTTAGATACTGAGCGGAGCGATGATTGTACTAATTTTACAATGATATTGCGTGTGATATTTTTATTTATTTATTTGCCAACACATTTCGGACGGAACAGTAAAAATGCTTATTTTCAACTTCGAGAGTGGTTTCTGCTGTAGAAAATTCCATCTTACTTCAGTCATAGTAATTAATTTTTCATTTTATAAAAAAATGTTGGTGACAATTTTTATCTTGTATTGTTTTCAAATGTAATATTCCCGGAAACAGTAAACTTTTCTAAAAATGGTTCTGTATAAATATTGAAAAATAGATATTATTTCAGTAAATAAAATGAATTATCGAAACACGGCGTCTTGTGTAGGCTATTTAGCTACACCACTGTCGTGGGTCATTTTTGTAGTAGGTAATGGAATATTTAAAATTTTGTAATAATAATTAAATAATATCCTATAGCAATATAATAAAATAATAAAATATGACTCTATATTCCACTGTACCGTAAATTTACTTTTGGTAATTGAAGAATAAGACAGTAATAACTGTAAATAGGTAACATTAAAGTGTATACAGACGGCAGGATGTCAATGGTGTTTGGTGTTGTCGCTTACGCCTTACGTGTATATATTTCTATGTATTATAATATAATACAGAGGGAATTACATTTTAAATAACAAAGAATAACGATTTTAGTTATTTTGTTGTAATTTTATAATATTAATTAAACTTACCGATTACCGTCTTAATAATAAGTAATAACAATATAAAATATATAATAATATAAAATATCCACACGACCACACCACGGTTATAGTAGATAACCGTGATCTATACTGACAAACCGTCACAGCTCAGAATCGTTTTCACATACAATGATATTATATCACAGAATCCAAATTTAATACCATCTATTATACAGTGACCCATATGAAACCTACTGTACAGCAGAGCGACATCCACTTACCCACCTTTTTTATTATATTATATTATATTATATAATAATGCAACTAACATTAGGTAGTAAGTACCTTTAGTACCTACCTATATTTATGTTTACACTATACCTACTGTATAGCCATGTATTTATATTGAATATTATGTATATTTAAAAAAAAAAGAGTACTTATACTGAAATATAAATTTGAAACTATAAAGTATTATAGTGTGCGTGTGTGTGTGTGTGTGACGTGTGTACTTATGGTTTTATTTGAAAAGTTCAAAACTGTAAAAAAAAATCACGATGATTATAGATTTAACAAATCATATTATTAATTTGGTAAATAAATATCACATTTCTATTTTTTATAACCATTTAAATAGCATGTTAAATTTTTATATCATAATAATTGTTCGGAACAAAATGTTGGTTCCTCGTTTCTGTATACTCGAACGACAAGATGGTGGTAGACGACCATAACCAATATGGTACAGCTATATTGCCTGTGCTTCAAATAAGCCTATAATTGTACCCATGTCAGTTTCTGTTACGTGTAACAGTCGTCATAACACTAATAAATAATAATATTTTTAATAATAAGTATTAAACTATTGACACATATAATATGATAATAAAAAAAATAAAAATAAAAATAAAAATATATATATGGGGGGACGAGGTGGCCGAGCGGTCTAACACGTCGTCTGCGGCGCTGGCGGTCGCGGGTTCGATTCTCTCGGCCACTGGGCGGCATTTTTCTCCGGGCAAGTCACGGTGTCAGGAGAACAAGTGCCGCCATCCCCCCACCCCGGGGCATGGCAGAAACCTACGGGTGCCCCAGTCGAAATTCTGCCAAAAATACACCCATGTGTAACAACCTACAGTTTCCCCCTACAGTAACACAGGCTAATAACCTTGCAGTTGATGCCTATAAAATTAAAAAATAAATAAATAAATAAATAAAAAATAAAAAAAATAAATATAAATTATTAAACACGAGTAATAATAAATATAGGTATTAAATAGATTAAACATTTAAGTTAATTTAAACTGGTAGTATTTTTTCAAAACAAATCATTGTTTAATACAAAACATAAACATGTTATATGCATGGCTACAATTTAAAAATATTAGATTCGCGTAGGTGATCGATCATTATAATGTTATTATTTTGATTTCACGAAAAATTACTGATGTAATTAATTAAAAACATTACACACAGTGTAAAATAAGAGTTTCCATTAAATGGAATACCTATACGATTACACTAAGTGGTGCTCTCACCGTAAAATATAGAACCAGCTGGTACAAACATGGGTAATTTTAGGCACAAACACTTTTTTTTTTTTTGACAATTTACATTACAAATTTACTAAGTATATAGGTTCGTCACTAATTATTATTATTATTTACTAAATAATTATTTATATTTATATTATATTAATATCTATTAGCTAAACAATGTATTCAATATTTACGTTGTATTATCCTTTTGCTTGTATCACTTTAATTGTGCACATTTAATAAGTTAAGTACTAAAAACTAATCCGGAATGTCATCTAGGTAACAGTAGAAAAGATTTTGATATTTAAATTTTATCTCTCAACGAATCTTTGCGTTACAATTATACCTATAGGCTATAACTGTTCAAAACAATTATTATAGTATTGTTCATTATAATTGTATTCATTTACATATAGTTTTATATTGTATTCTTATACTTAATTCATATTCATATACCTTCAGTGGCTTAATTATGGGGGAAGGGACAATTTGGGTTTCGAATCCCAAAATTTTAATTTTTTTTAAAAGCTGACAAATCATACTTAAGACCTATAAATATTATTATTATTTATCTTATAATATTTTAAACATGCTAACCCCCATTTTTTCCTTTAATAATACCTACATACTTTTATTCAAATACTGATTTTGTTAAATGTTTAAGACTTTAAGTATACCTAAAGACTATATTTTTAAATTCCTGAAATGTTTATACTATTAGAACTTAGAAGTGTCCTGTGGCATTACAAACTAAATGAGACACCCCTTTTTTACTGTAGATTATTTAGCGTACAATATTCTTGAAAATGTTGAAGACTTAAGTATTTAAATAAAAATTCTAATAAGTAGTTTCTGAGATATTAAAATGTTTATTCTAACTATAATAATTCTTAAATATAGTTTAATAAAAATATAAACTATATGTGATATTAGATAAAATATTAATTATATTATACTTAGATCATTTTTACAAATTATTTATATTGATAGATCATTAATAGTTATATAGGTAACTAACATTTTTAAATCAACTAAGCCCCTATATCTACTTAAACCAATTATTGTTATATAACTCAAAAACTACAAGTTAAATATTTAAAAATTCCAAAAATCAAAATTTTAATACTTGTATAATTCAAGCATAAAATGAGGGTAAAACCCTATAAATATACGTATGTCTATAGTTGGAAATCTTGTACAACCAAAAAAAGAACCTGATATGATGCCACTGGATATTACCCATCTTCTATAACTTATATACTATATTCTATGCAATTTTAAATAATCTGTAAAAGTAGGTTCCATCTACAGTTCTTGTGTGGAGGGACAACCTGAGTTATGGCAGCCGTGCAATTCGACGGCGCAGATGTAGCCGTCAGGTATTGCCCGCTCATAGTCATGGATTAGGTTAATTGTCGTGCGATGGTAGTGGACTGTAATAGGTAGGTAATAGGAAAATGGGTGACGGAAAACTAAAGTGAGAAATAACAATGTCGTTGGTTGCTCAGGTTGTTGTATAAAAATTATAAAATAAATAGGAGGTATATTAACCGTGGTTGCTACTGGTGAAAAAATGCTTAAGTATTATGTTAGTAGTAGGTGGGGGCCGACCACAAGCGGTCGCCAATACAGCGGGACAAAAAAGAGATAAATAATAAATGTACAAAAAAATATAATTCGATGGTCGAGTGACAAATACACGAAGGTAAACAATAACAAAATATGAACGTAGGTACGACCTGATACGGAATAGCTGGATAATCTGTGTCGGTGGAGAACAGCTGATTCGCGTTCGGCGGTCGACTCGTGCGTGCGTTGGCTGTCGTCTGACGACGGCCAATAATTAATGCGCGTGCGGGTAACAATGGTGGTTACGATACTCACTACGCGTGCGAATCCGGACGACCGTGCAAGTAGGTAGTTTGATTGAAAAAACTGAAGCGGGAAAGAGATGGGTATGAACTATGAACGTAATTTTAAACGCAGATCTTAAACCCAAAATGGTACACGGTCACGGCGAGGGCGTGACGCGCGACTTTTGCACAAGTACCAGTCGGAACGACCAACCGCGTGGCGCGAGGGGCTACGGGTGGCTGAAAATACTTGACGAATGTTTTAGCGAGGTGCTAACGCTGTCGTACACGATTGACAGACGGAACGCGAGCACTATGGTGAGCAAAACGGCTCGGACGGGCACGGAATCACAAACGGATATTGACGGCGACGGCGCACCGGTTCGCACATATATTGGACACACAAAACGACGATATTTGCCAAGACGGCTGAGGACCGGCGGCTTTGCGACTGAAGGCACTGCGTCGGACTGCATGCAGCGGGGAAGAGACCGCCGGCGACACACCGATAACGCTTCTCTCTCCGGAGATATCGGAACGGTCGCGCGGTGTCTACGGTAATAGCGATAACGCGGGGCAAAGTCCAAAACCGGGCATACGTACCGAACATAATCACTTCAGTATTTGCAGTAATTAACAATGTTTCAACAATATGTTGACTAAGTATTTAACATTGAGCGAGGCGGTGATCCTCTCCCGCAGGCGGGCGTTCGCTACCCCTCGGCTTATGGTCGGTGGCCACCAGATCACCATCCGCAAAGACATCAGGTACCTCGGAGTCATCCTCGATAAAAACCTGACATTTGCGGCTCACGTCAACGCCGTCGCCAAAAAGGCGGCACGCACAGCGGCTGCGCTGGCCCGGCTGATGCCAAATATAGGAGGTCCAGATCAGTGGAAGCGTAAGCTGCTCGGTTCGGTCGTGGATAGCCAACTTCTCTACGCCGCCCCCGTATGGAGCAAAGCCATTGCCGATGTCGCCAGAACCAGGAGGAATCTCATCCGTCCGCAGAGGTCCGCCGCCCTGAGGGTAACCCGGTCCTACCGCACCGTTTCAGACGAGGCCGCACTAGTTCTGGCCTGCACACCGCCGGCAGACCTGGTTGGTCTAGAGAGGGGTAGAATAAGGTATCGACTACAGGCTGAAACTGAGCCCGGTGAGTTGCGGCCTTCAAAAGCGGCCGTTTTCGACCGAGGAGAGGAAGTCCACTATCGCACAGTGGCAGGCAAGATGGCAGGCAACTGAGAAGGCCTCGTGGACGCGGTGCATCATTTCGGACGTAGGAAGATGGATGGGGAGAACTGTCCCGTGGGTGCCTCTGACGTTCCACATGACACAGGCACTCACGGGTCATGGATGTTTCCAGTGGTACTTACACCGAATGGCCAGGGCTGCCAGCCCCCGTTGTCGGCAGTGCTCAGACAACTCAGACACCGCCGAGCACACCCTGTTTGGGTGCCCACACTGGGACAGGTTCCGCGAGCCCCCGAGCACCCGGCTAGGTTATCGACCAAGTGCCAGGGATCTCCCAAACATCCTCTGCGGTCCAAGTTTTGAACAACTTCCATCGGGCCCAAACGAAAAGTCGGCGATCCTGAGAGAAGCTGAGGAACTGTTCAGGCTATTTTACGGAATGGTGGAGCGCATCCTCACAGCAAAAGAGCAAGAGGAAAGAGCACGGCAGGCCCCCGCAAATACATACCCTAACCTAGTTAAGATTTTATGTAGCCGAAGGCAACTTTGGGAGAGTATGGGGCTCCCACATTGTCATATAATATAATTGTTTGTTTTGTTGTTGCTATAGTAGTGAGTAGGAGACAGCCTACCACTTCTAAAAATAGGATACATATTTGATTGTTTCAATAAACGATGGTGGCCGGAGGAGAAGTATTGGTCAAATTGGTTCCTTCTCCGGTCCTCGATATCACGTAAAAAAAAAAAAAAGTATTTAACATTACAATTGATCTTATTTGTCATCATAGGTATTTGTAAATTGTAATATTATAAAATGTCATTTTACTTAATTTCCATATTATCACGTCTTTTAAAGATTTAATCATCACAAAATTTTTTTTTTTTAACTTAGCTTTTTTTTTTACAAGGAGTTATAACTTATAACGAAGTGTTTTTGGTGTGATATTATAGTCGGTAAACGGATATAATATTAAACGAATGTACTTTGGTTTCGATGACAGTTGTAGCATACGATACAATTTTCAAAATCACAATTTAAATAATTTGTATGCATTTATAAATTTTAATTCAGAAAAATAATATGTTTTAGTTTTTATATACTTTTTTATAATATTTTATATTAATACTATTTTATAATTCTGTAATTTGTTAATGTCCAGTATGTTATCTATGTAAATAATTATCAGTTAAAATATATTTTTTGATTTTATTATGTAGCTTTAAGAGGACATAACACCCGCATGTGTTGTCGCCGCCTTACAAACGCGTAAAATAAATTCAAGTTTTATGCCGTTAGTATTTATAAGTAATGTGTTGTAGATTTAAATTTTAAACACAATAATATGGGGTTATTAATGGGTGTTGCCACACATTTTGTATGAACAAAAATTTTTTTATAGTGTATATTATTATTTAAAGGTACGTACTAATATAATGTATAACATGGGTAGGACATAGAAATATATTATATATACGTTGTAAATATTGTAATACAAACTATACTCTATTTCACGAGAGAACGGTACCGGAGGCCTCAAAAACTCGTTCGCCGCCGCGCATCGTTGTAAGCTTGATCACGTGGTCGTCCACGCACCTATCGAATCATTGTACATAAGCGAAACGGTCCTGTTCTCTCGTGAAAAAGAATATTACTAATACCCATAACATAATAATATAGTACCTATTTCAGCGGGGGCCGCCGCTGATACTGTGACGTCCGCGTCGTTCACACCCGCCGCAGTACCGCCACCGTTACATCCGGTCAGGAGGCAACTACCTCCGCCTCCTGCGGTAACCTCGGAAAATTTTGTTACACCTCTTCCGCCGCCTTCTCCGCCGATGAGTGATGACGACCGGCACGGTGATGTTTCTCCGTGACCCTGTGCAGAAGCCGTGAGCATCCGTGCGCTGAGCCGAGGAGAAGGAATTGAAAACCTACTGCCGTGTGTCCATAACGGAGGAGAGTTTGAGATCCATCGTCCTCAAGCCTGTAGCCTGGCGGACTTGAGGATCTCTTCTGTTATGGGTATACGGCAGTAGGTAGTAGGTGTGTTGAAGTGACCTTAGAATTTAATTAATACAATCTACAGAAAATGAATCTTTATTCCGTGTTGTAGTATTATAGTCAATAAACTCTGGAAATTGCGTTGTTCATTCTGTAGTAAATTCACAGATTTTAAATGTTTTTCAGTTTTAAAATGTTGTGTAATTGAATACCGTTTATCGTGGGAAACTTTGACTTCACATAATTTGCACAGTACCTATGATTTGACCTCGGTTGAAAAATGTTCTCCCCGAATTTACGCACATAATTATGAAGAAGATTCGATAACGATACGATTTATCTTTCGGCATTTTGAAAAAAATAAAATAAATAATAATAAAAACGCGAATTACGACACGGCACACACACCACACACGAAGACTTTTAACGCGACTGAAGCAGTCAATGGACAATCATGGTCGTGATCGATATTTTCTTACCTTTATCTTTATCTTATTTTATTTCCTCGATTTTAGATCTAACGTCACATTTGGGAAAACCGTTTATACCTACTAGTATAACACCCTATTAATTTATTTTGATATTAATCGAAAGTATAAAAATTTGATATTTTTTTCTTATATTATAATACTGTATATTTCAAAAATGTCTAAAAAAGACAAAAAAACATCGAAACATGTTCTAAAAGATGAAATATGGTATTAAAATTGTAAAATAAGCCCTTGAAATAGAAAAATGTCAAAATATGCAAAAATAGGCGCTAAAAAAGTTTCATTTTTTAAATCGTGATGTCATGAAACAAATTTTGTGCTCACATAGCATATCATCATACGATCAACCAGAATAAATATGCAAATGCATACAAATCCGCGCTCTACCAATAATAATTAAACAATTGATTTATGTTCTAATTAAAATAAAATAAATTAAAGATTCCAACATTTGGTTGGTTTGTTCGAAATTCTATTGCTGTTACAAGTTATGTATTTTAATTTCTAATTTCAGTTTCAATCTTACAAATCAACTAAACTGGTATGAATGTTTTGACAGTATCATTCGTGTACAATATACATATTATTAAAATACCATGCATACAATTTGATTTATTGGACAGGTTTTTTTCTTCATAGATTCTAACGTTATTCTAAGTATGGATATCAATGGATAAAATATATTAATGGGTATTACCTATAGATAATATATTGAACTTGTCATGATACGTTTAATTTTTACGAGTATCTATATATGAATCGTTAAACAATGGGCATCCACGACCACGAATATGAGTTCATTATTATCAAAGCCATAGAATAAATGAAATTTATTTTGTCGAAGCACTCCCATCGTCTGCTTTGAATACTCTAAAGCGTTCAATCAAAATATCGCTTTCGAAGTATTTAAATAGAAGAACATATTGGTCTTGTATTTTTAACGTGTGTTTACATTAGTTTAAGTCGTTTAATAGTTACATATTTACTATTATACGTCTATACAGTCCACGTCTATAATACATAGATACTTAAATACGTTTGAATGTTTGATTATAATATTATTTTTATTTTAATGAAATTTTACCAAACAACATTTTGTAAGCAGTGTGTATCTATAATAATACAATATAATATATTATACCTACCTAAGTATTGAAAATTGAAATTGCTTAGAAACAGTCTTTACTTTTACCCATCATAAATAGAACTGAGATCATATATTATAGGTACCAAGACGAAGGTATATGTAGCCGTATGTCTGTAAAGTGTAGGTACCTAGGTACTACCACACTACCACCTAATATACATTATATACACTTTTTATAACCTTATTTTTATTCGTGTTACTTTCAAAAAGTTTGTTTTGCTGTCGTATATATAGATTTAGAAATGATAACGTTTTATTATTGCATCCAACCTCTTTATTTTATGAAACTTGTCCAGTTGTCTATAATTGTATATGTTTTATAGCCTATAGGAGTTTTTTTTACACACACACATACCTATTATTATATGGACTCAAATAAATTGGTTCGTTTTGTTTGGTTTTTTTAAAACTTTTAAATGTATCCCAATCCAATATTATGAACATACACATTTATTATAAATAACCATAAAATCACAATGCATCTGTGTTATATAGAATGAAAAAAAGTTTGGTCAAACAAGGTTCAGTAAACGGTTATAATTTTCGAACTATTGATACAATTGTTTAATTTACTGTGTACCTACTTTGTTTTGAATTTAACTGCTTTGAATTTGAAATATATTTACAATTTTTCTAAAAGTTAGAGGTTTAATACATACATTCGGAGTTCGGACGTTGGATTTCAAAATTTATTGCTCATAATGATAATATAGTATAATGTATAAACATTTTCACGTATTTTACTATAACATATATAGGCTATACACATATATAAAATTATAATGAAGGTTGTGTACTATGTAGTGTGTAGGTACATAGTGTAATGTTTCAATGTTTGGAAAGTTGGACCAAGCAGGAAATAGATTTTTCCCGATGTTGATCACAATATCAAATAATAATTATAATAACCAGGAATTCTAAAATATATTGAGATCGTTCGAACTATAATAGTATACAATTACAGAAATCAAATCGATATTATATTTTGGTCTAAAATATTAATTAGGTAGGTACTCGTCTAGTGTGTTGAAAGCTGTTGAGTGATGACTGCAGTGTTTTACTTAATAAAAATGCGTAAATAATTATGCAGTGCTTGTGGTCTGTAGAAAGAAATCATATTATGTTTACGTTCGACAAACGAAAATAAACGATTCTTAAATATTGAATCGATGATCGATCGATCAGAACAATTCGTAGGCTTATGATATACCTAATGTAGGGTGATTTTAGCTGTGATTGTTTTGTAGTGCTTTAAAATACGTCAATACGTCTCGTCTGTGTCGATATGAATAATATTATCGAATTGATATTTAATAATTATTTGAAACGGGTGTTTACCGATAAAATAATCGCCCTGCTATTAGGTATACCGTATGCGTAATTTAATATATACGACAAGATTGTGTATGTTTCCACACCACCTGTTGACTTGTTAAACAACAAGATAATATAAATAATATCATATAGTCCGTGTTGTAAGCATGAGGTATTAGTGTATTAGTGGCGCGTTTTTTTATTGTGGTATCCCCGGTAGGCCTAATCCACAGATGATCAACTTTTACACTTTTACACGTTAAACACGTAATAGCATACAGCTGATAGATGCCTACCTAACTGAAAAGTAACCTACTTATAGTACATTTTTAAATATTTAAAATCCGTGTTCTGATAAATAATAGCTTTTGTTCATTTAAAATTGCATTAACTGTTGATGTGTGCACCTATATGTACCTAAAACAGTGTAAAGGTTTAAATATTGAAAATAAAAAGAACAACTAATTTTCCACGAACTTAAAGAAAGTAAGGAAAGTTAAAAATAATTTTGGAAAACTTAAACAAATTAAAAATTAAAACGGCAATCGAAAAACTTTAATATTATTCGCATGAAAGTTAAAACTGTGACGTAGGTACCTATATAATTTAAATGTTTTTTTTGAACGAAATTGAAATATAAACATTAATAAGAAATAAACAAATTGAATATTATGTTGGTTTCTTGTATCGGTTATATGGAAATTAATAACAGACATTATATTATTATATGGCCAGCATAGTATTTTTTTTTATAATAAAAAATATGAATAAATAATAATTATTTATAAACTTTTTTATTATTATGTTTGTAGCCAATTCACGATAAGAATTAATACTAATAGTAGGTATAATAGCCTTACTATAGAGCCAGGGCTAGTGAGTACATCACTTGTATATTAATTAAATCAGTATTACAATTAATTTTTATATCGCATACATCAATAATGTATGTACAATTTATTAATTGTATTATAACTAAATAATATAAACCATTATAATGTTTGTTGAATATTTCATTGTTTAATTATTTATCACGTTTAATTACGATTGTTGTTATATATAAATAACCTATTTTATATAATTTGTAATCATAAATTACTAAACACATGTTTTAATTCTTTGATAAATATCTCGATAATCTTTTTTTTGTAAATGTTAATAGCTAGAGTACTTAATATATTGACTAAAAAAATATCAAATATTTGTGCATACAATAATATTCATAATAATATGCTATCATCGTTGTAAAGTATTTTGGTAAATGCATTTCAATACTTTTTTTAATTAAGTATTTGAAAGTATTTAAATAGGTACAGCATTGGATATAATTGTATTTTAAAATAAATTAATTGTATGTAAATACTTTTAAAAAACCAAAAGAATTATTTGTCACAGTTCAGATTGTTTTTTGATAATTTGGTATAATATTATTGTATTTATAATAAATTAAAATAAAATAATTAAATATTTTATTATTTCATATTTTATTAACAATTGTTTATTGTTTAATTGGTATTAAATTATAACAAATTTTTATTTACCTTAAATTTTCGGTTTAAAATGAAGTAGGTTGATAGTATAAAGTGTTATTGGTACTTGAATGTGACATCACAACTTTATATTTGTAATTACTAAATACATAATGACTTAACTAATTTTCCTATTTGAACAATTAAATAAATAAATTTAAAATTATATGCGAAGTATTATTAGAACAAATAGTCCTTAAAAACTTTTTCTTAAAGCTTATAAGTATTTGGAATGTATTTGAAATACTTTCTGCATCGATGTATTCTTATCTGTATTTAAATATATTTTTTACAAAACTTTAAAGCGTATAACGAATTTTGTAATCTTTTTTAGAATTTATTATTTAATTCTACCAAGATTCTATTCTTTTATACTTTAGTATATTGTATTAGTAATTAATATTTAATAGACTTT